CAAAACAATAGAGATGGGCAGCAGTGATGAGGACTACATAACATCTTTATGCACAAGGTAATTTCTGTTAATCGTGTCCACATTCATAAAAACCTGCAATAGAGGATAAATAATAAAATTCTTGAGTTCACAGGAGGGGAGAAATCATGAGAACTAAACTCAAACTGGAAGCTTAGAGCAGTGATTCCCAACCAGGAGTACGCTTACCCCTAGTGGTCCATGAAAGCATTACGGGGATACACAGAATAATTTATATTTGATTTTTACCCAGATGTTGATAGCATTCGCTGTGCCGTGAGGTGAGGAAAAAAAATAAAGCATTGGGCTGGGGTGTGTTATGCTTGATGAATATGCAAATAAAGTAATTCACAGTAATATGGTTTATATCATATTGTCAATTATCAATTTAGACCAGCCACGACTGTGCATGAATTTTTTTCAAGCTGCATCAGCTTTGGACTAGAGGCTGCTGCAGCGCGGAGCATGCAGATTCTGATTTATCCGGTAATGTTGGTTATGAGGACCTAATTTGGGTTTCGAGAGTATGGTGCTGAACAGAAAACACACAGACTTCCAAACGTTCCGACATCTCCAGTGATTTAGTTTGAATAAAATTTCCATTTGCAGCTGTTTCTCCCATTAATAACGCTTGAGGTTGTGCAGCTCCTCTCTCCCCATCTCCTCAAACTGCGCACCGTGACTCTGACCTCTAATAACCCCAGACCCGCTGATCAGAGCATCGCTCAACCAGAAGCAGAGAGAAATAAACCTCCAACTTATTTATTAATATCGACCAAAAACACAGCAATGCATCATTTTACCTTAAAGGGACTTTACGGAGTTTTGAATTTTTATGCTCGCGATTGCCCCCTCAGGCCAAAAGCGTAACAGCAGCTTCAATAGTAGGGTCGTGCACGAGGCGTGCATGCTGTACGTGCACACTCCTTAACGAGAATAACAGCTGAGACAGTCCCTTGTGTGTGTGTGTGTGTGGCCCGGAGGACAGAGGACAGGAGAACGTGTAGCTAATTAATTAAATAATTTGGTTCTGTACCTTTCTCTTCAGCACAGCCGCTAAAGGTTTAAGATGGGTCAGTCCGTCAGCTTCACAGAGCTTCCCTTCCCTTGCTTGAAAAATTGTTCCAAAATGAAAGTTGAACCCACATCTTTTTATCTGTGATTCAATGCCGTTCGGTGAGTCTCGAATAAAAATTTGGGCATCTTACTGTAAAAAATATATCATTAATGTAAAAAATAAACTCTAAATAATCTATGTTGATATCCAGAATCGAACCTGGCTCTTCTGCACGAGGGTCCGCCGTCTTGCTAGGTGAGCTAAAGCGCCAGTGACATCTTTTGTATCTGTAATATTTATATCATTGTTGACAGCTGAAACAACGTTCAAAGAACGGTTCGGAGCGAAAATGGCTATTTTGTTGCTAATTTGCAGGAAATATCTAGAAGAAAGTAGCTAAGGGTCCTCAGAAATGTAGCTAGGTTCGTCACTAGGCATTAGGAACAGCGACAAAGTCGCTGAGTTGGCACTACCTCACTCTCTGCTGCAAAAGCTACTGATAGCAAATGCTACGGGCTATGCCTGAGCGTGAACGCGCATGAAGCAGCCCGCTCGACCCAAGCAGCTCTCTTTTTCTGTGATTTTACAGAAAAACACGCAATCACAGTAAAAATGCCAGGGCTCATTCTACAGGACCAGGACATTGCAGGAGAATGTATGAAGAAGACATTTATTATTTCTATACATGTTTTGCCTGTCAAACTTCCATAATGCCCCTTTAAGTTATCCTCACTGAAGCAACACTTAACTTCTATGAGAAAATGAAAAACATGAAAAGTGATTGAAATGAATCAGGAAAATAAAAAGAAAATTTATTTCTGTTTTTTTTTTTTTTTTACATTTTTCACTTTATTTCAAACTTTAATTTTGTGTTTTCATCACATAGCTTGTATTTTATCTTCATCTTTATTCATTTAATGAGGATTTTTGTGTTTGGAGAGCAAATCATATTAACATAAAAACTACTTAAAGGTTTATTTTTTAATAAGTTTTGAATGTTAAACATTCTTCGATAATGTTTCTAAGTATTTGTTACGCTGAAGCACATACTGACTCAAGATAATGATTAGAAAATATAAAAAATGTTGCAAAGTATGCCTTTAAATTAACTTTGCTGAGAGATCTTTTTCATCCAAATATCAAAATAAAAATTGGCTTGAAAGGGATGCATGGTGGTGCAGCTGGTAGCATAGTTGCAGGTTAGAATCCCAGCTGCACCCTTTCTGCATAGAGTTAGCATGTTCTCCCCATGCATGTGTGGATTTATTCCTGGTTTCCTCCCACAGACTAAAGCATGCACGTTAGGTTGAGCAGAAACTAAATTATCCCTAGGTGTCTCTATGTGTCCCTGTGATGGACAGGACACCTTCTCACCTGCTGAAGACCAACACCAGCTCCCTGAGAACCTAGTGAGGATGAAGTGGTTCAGATGAGGGAATGAGAGCTAACAATAATCTTAACGTTGATTTAATCCCTTTTGGTTCTTTCAAAATGAGAATCACTTCTTTCTCTCACAAAGGATCTCCCTCCAGTCTGAACCAGCAAACTTTGCTTGACCTTACTGGCTCCTGTTATCGTCACACACCCACCAGTCCTCACTTCATTTCCCAGTTTTGAGCCCTCATAACAAGCAGGTCCATTCATACCAATTATAATAGGTCGTAATAGCTGGAGCCGACCATAGCCGGGGCTGATGTGATTGTCTGAGACAACAGACGCTTGTTACTGACACATGAGGGAAAACACACGTAGTGACTAGTGTCAGCATTTAAAGTTTTTTTTTTTTTGCTTTGGTCATATAAAAAATACATGCCTCAGCCAGACCTGGGTGATAAAATCAGGAGAATACAAAAAATACCTTCTTGTTACACCTCATTCGGTCATTAAGCTAAACCTTGAAGAATGCTCACTATATCCACTCTGAAACCCTCATCCTAGCTCTGATAACGGAAAGCTGCAGGAACAATCTGTAGCTGCGGTCGGGAAACGAGCCCAGCTCAGTTACCAACAAAAGGAACAAGCCTGAGCAAACAGGCAGGTGCTAGCACTTTTTCCCTGTCTCTACACACACCGCCTTTGTAGTCGGCTGCAAAGGACGGGTCTCCTGAGGCCGAGGTCAGCTCCCTGCAGACCACTACAGCTCCACTCTGCTTCCCAGATGTTTGCAGGCTCCTATCTACAGACCTGCTCATCACGCAGGCTGAACACAAACAAACCTAAAAGGAGCCGAGAGTAGTGTGTGTGTGTGTGTGTGTGTGTGTGTCTGTGTGTGTGTGTGTGTGTGTGTGTGTGTGTGTGTGTGTGTGTGTGTGTGTGTGTGTGTGTGTGTGTGTGTGTGTGTGTGTGTGTGTGTGAGTGTGTGTGTGTGTGTGTGTGTGTGTGTGTGTGTGTGTGTGTGTTTGTGTGTTACACACACTAGTCCATACACGTGCACTTGTTGAATACATGATCTATTCCTGGTGGCCAAGGAAATGAGGGGAGTCGAAGCAAACCATTTGGATGCAGATCAGGAGTGACGTGTGTGTATGTGCGTGCATGCGTGCTTCAGTGTGTGTGTGTGTGTGTGTGTGTGTGTGTGTGTGTGTGTGTTTGTGTGTGTGTGCGTGTGCGTGCTTGGTGGTTGCTGATAAAGTGGGGGGATCAACACCAGACCACCTATTATAATGACAGGAAGCAGGAAGTACAACCCCTTCACAGTCACATGGCTGCCAGCTGTCTTGGCAGCAAAAGGAAGATAGAGAAGATAATAGGGTGTGTGTGTGCATGTGTGCGCGTGTGTGCGCGTGTGTGTGTGTGTGTGTGTGTGTGTGTGCGTGTGTGCGCGTGTGTGTGTGTGTGTGTGTGTGTGTGTGTGTGTGTGTGTGTGTGTGTGTGTGTGTGTGTGTGTGTGTGTGTTTGTGTGTGTGTTCTTGTACTTATTACCTACTAAGGACTGTCGTGAGTTGTGACCAACAGAGTCAGGACATTTTTCAAAGTGAGGACATTTTTGTGGTCCCCACTTTTTTTAAATGTCAACCAGTTGGTTTTGGAGGTTTGGTGTGAATGAAGTTTTAGTTAAGGTTAGGGTTAGGACTAGATCAGCACTGGTTATGGTTAAGGTATGGGTTGTGGCTTAGGCATAATACAGTTGCAAAAATAAATGGAAGTCAGTGAATAGTCCTCACTTAGAAAGGTGTGTGTGTGTGTGTGTGTGTGTGTGTGTGTGTGTGTGTGTGTGTGTGTGTGTGTGTGTGTGTGTGTGTGTGTGTGTGTGTGTGTGTGTGTGTTAGAAGGTCTTTCTGAATACAAATGTCCAGATTCGTAACTGGAGCAGACTTTTAAATGAATTTAATGGAAAAACTAAACATTTTCACCTCAAACCGCCACAGTTGGGTTCTGTTCCAGAGCGGGCTTCAAGCTCGGACCCGACCATATGGATGTGTTTAGTAGCTGTGGCTCGGCACACATCTGAACGCCCACTCGCAGAGACGCAAAAATGCACATTTTCACATGAATCTCACATTCTGTGTGTGTGCAAACTTTTCTAAAACTCACTCAGACACACACAAACACACATGAGCACACACACACACACACACACCTGGAAGCATACCTTTTGACTTGCATCTCTTTTTCCTCACATTAAGTCAAAATTGAGCTGATTTTGTATTTAGGAACACGATCTTCCTTCTTATAAAGTTCCAGACACAAAGTTCCAGATCTGTGAGTACTTTAAGAACACACATGTGTACACAGACATACACACACACACACACAGAGTCAGTGTTGGTCAGAAGACACAAACAACTCTGAGCTAACGCTGCTAAACACTTTAGCTTCTAATGTCCGCATTTCTGCGTTTGCTACGGTGGTCATATTAGATGTGGTTTCTCCGGTGATCCGATAATTGTTTTCTAACCGTTTCATGAACATTTCTGACCCTTACCCTCGGACTGGTTGGGGTTGGACGGCGTCTGCGTCTCCTTGCTGTAGGAGACAACCTCTTTGGGCAGGAAGTCCACTTGTGTGATCTTAGAGGCCCCCAGCCTCTGCATCCTTCGCCTGGATAAGAAAAGCACACTCACATTAGCATAGCATGGAGGAACGCTAAAAAGTCTCGTGAAGAAAGAATCAAAATAAGGCATGTTTCACATGTACTAGTTCATTGGTGTGTCAGAGTAAAAATACTAGAAAACTACAAAAGCATCAGAACAGAGCTATATTCAGCAGTGCTTGCATATCTGTTTTGGGTCTACTGATGTATTATTATAACTAGGGCTGCACAATATATTACAAATATATCGTAATCGCTATATCAGCATGCACAATATGCATATCGCAAAGAACAAATAAATATCGCAATGAATGGTCAGCTCAAATGTTTGCTACACATAATGCATTCTGTCCATCGAACGGAAGAATGATGCTTTTTTAACAAATCAAATAGAGCTCTTCACCCATTTGGTCAACTGGGTGGGTTCTCATAGGTTAGACGCCCGCCCCCGAGGCGGACGGCACTTCATTTAGATGTTAGCAAACACCTGAGTTAGCTTTGTTAGCTCTTTTTGCTGATTCTGCTTTTCCCGGGATCCACGGATTGCCTTTTCTTGTTCATTTTCTTTTTCCCTTTCCTCACATCTTTTGCTTTTCTCATTTTTTAGATTTTTAATTTTTTTTGTTTTTGATTATTTTTGTTCCTGAGTTAAGTTTTTATTTATCGCAAGTAATATCGTCATCGCAATATTAATCATTGTTATCGAATATCGCAGGTTTTCCTAATATCGTGCAGCCCTAATTATAACACATTTATCCAGATTAGTAAACACATCATCATGTTTGCATAAACGGATCTGTCTGCGCTCTAAACCAGAATGCCGTACCCAAGCTCTGAGTCCACCTGCAGCTGCAGCACAGACGGGTCTGTGTCCCACTGCAGCGTCCTGGTGCCAGGAGACAGAGAGCAGCCATGTTTACAGATATCACACAAACACTGGAGAGCGCTTTGATGAGTGAAGAAAGATTTGTTAACGCACAGACAAGTTTTCTAGAGTTCTGCTACAGCATAGAAACTCCCGCTGATCAGCATGCAGACTAATTCTGTCAAAAACAGAGAAGTGGTAGTGGAAACAATGTCACAAGGTTGCTTGGAGACATTGTTACTCCCACAAAGACCAGGTTACACATTTGAATAGAAAGAATAAAAAAGGAAAATCTTAACAAAACAGCTCTTCAGTTTGGGCCTCTGGCCAGACACCCAGAGCTTGCACTCGTATGTGCCAGTCCCCGTGCATTAGCAAACATATGAAGTACTTGACAGTATAATAAACATGTGCATGTGTGCCCTTAGTGCAGGAAACATGAGTAATCTAGGAATTTAATAAGCATTAAAAGTGCAGAACTTGATGTAGTTTGACCCAAACTGCGAGCCGTAGAAATCAAAGGGTTTCATGGTGAGTAGTGGGTTGAAACATAGCAGCTGTGAGGAGATAGTAGGGCTGCTCGATTATGGCAAAAATAATAATCACGATTATGGTGACTGAAATTGAGATCTCGATTATTTAGGACGATTTTTCAATTTATGTTGATTTTATTTGTTTTTATTCTGTCATAAAATTGCTCAGGGCACAATCAGGACAAAAATAAATAAGAAACAAGATGATCACTAAAATAACTCCTGATTCCCAGTATAAAAAGACCAATATACCTATAGCTCATAGTCTATGACCCAAGGGCTGTAGACCTTGGTTTAACTCATTTAAGTCTAACCAGTACAGACCCAAATACCAATACCTTGCAAATACTGACAGCAGGAATTATACAGTGGCATTTATAACAAATAAATGCAAATAAATTGATGTTCACAAAATGTTGCATAACATTTATTTAGTCGTGTCAAGGTGCTGTAGGAGAGTGCACTAGCACCGTGTCCTCAGGGAGATTAGTTATCAGCGTGAGGAACTTATTTCTACCTTATTTATAAACTATTTATTTACAAGTCCATCCGTTAATGTAATAATTGTCCCAACCACAGCTGCACCCCCCTCCCCCCAAACCGGTCTCACAGCAATCGGGGGAAGCTGCACGTGTGTTTAGCACGCCGCACGTGCACATTTAGCCATTTTTAGCGGCTCAGGAGTCCGCAGGTGCGGTGTGTGTGTCACTCACTCTGGTTAATCCAACAGGGAGCCGGCTCCGAGAGCTGTCTTTAGCGACTGACACATCACTACATCATTCCCTTTCCTAATGTCCTGATGAACAGTCCGGAGCGCAGGCGGATTGTTTAGCTAACCTGCAGGAAATGTCGACGACAGTTATCCAGAAAGTAGCTAAGGGTTACCAGAGATGTTTCTGAGGTGTTCGCTAGGTACTTTTAAGTTAAAAAGTCAAGAAGGGGGTCTGAAAAGCTGTTGGATATAGTGTAAAAGTCGCCAAGTTAGCAACACTGTGGGAGGAGCGCTTCATTTGCAACTCGGGGCAGCACGAGTGGGAGGTGCAAATAATCGGTTTGTTTTGTTTATATAATCGTTCAAAACTCAGATCGTAATCGTGATTAAAATTCGATTAATTGAGCTGCCCTAGGAGATAGCAGCTGCAGCTTGAGCTGGTAGAAGGTTAAACGTGTGTGTTGACAGGCTGGCTGTGTTACAGCAGCCAGATGACCTCCAAGGATCAGCTCACGCGAGCAGAGATGCTTCAACCTGGTATTATAGGAGACAGCGAGGCTTGAGAGGGAAGGGGAGACGGAGCTCTGCACTGCTTCGGCTTTACACACGCGGGTGGGAACGTTCCATGGTGGAGGAACGTCAGATTCAAAGGGAGCATCCGCTAAAATAAAGAATCAAAGCAAAAAGGTGGGCAGGGTTCCTGGGTTTGATGTGAAAGTGCTTACCTTGAGATCTGAGCTTGGGACTTGTTTTTAGAGAAACCTGACCTACGAAGGGACACACACACACATACACAGGCACAGATGGAGAAGCTGAAGAGGCCATGCCATCATCTCGGGTGGATTTGAGGGAATCATCTTTCATTCCAGGAAACATTCGCTAACTTACCGGTTTGTAAAATCCAATTGGTAAAAGCTAAGAAGTGATAAATAAGCTTCAGCCCCAATTCCACCCCTGGAAACAACAAACCACCGACAACCCCTGAAGGCAACACTCACACATTGACCTCACGTTAAAAAGCAAACGGAAGCTCTCGGTGACCACTCTTGTTCCAGAAGCATCCACACGAGCGTATTTGTAATCCCAACAGAAGTCCTGCCTTCTGAAGGCGCTTCCTCACACACACTTCTGCTGATCTAACTTCTCTCACAGTCAAACCTCTCAGCAGTGGTGGTGAGAATCAAGGTCATCAAAACACAAAACGTCGTGATAAATACGACACTAAAACCACAGCCATACACCCAGCCTTACCTGAACCTGTCGGGTCAAAATCAAGAGATAAGAAAAAAAAATGTGTCAAAAAGCTTGAAGGACTAAACGTTTACATGTAGTCTGTTATAGTCTAATATGTTTGTCTACGTTAGCATCTTCTCTACGAGCAGTTTAGAAAAGTAGAGTGAGAGGTTTACCTGCCTGCTGCTCCTCCATCCGCCGAGTCCTGACTCCCCGTCTCACTGGGCGTGCCCACAGACTTGGAAGGGGACACGGGAGTCGGGACTAGAAAATAAAATAAATAAAAAATGTCACCATCAAACCAGACTGATTTAAAATAGCAACAAAGTAGAGCTAAAGATGGAAAACAGGATTTGTTTTTTGTTTTAAACCCGTTATTAATAACTTCAGAGTAAGAGAAGACAACAACCTACTTTCAGGGGTTATTTCAGCCACTAGAGAGCAGCGGTCCCCCATCAGCTCAGTGAAATCTAAAATCGCTCCTGGATTCGTTTCTGTTCCCAGCACCAAACAAACAGTGGTGGTGACACTGGCTGGCTCGTACCTAACGGAGGTTCTGGTGAAATGCCAATGCTCTGCAGCAGGGCCTCGGTCTCCCTGCGCTTCCGATCCAAGTCCGAGTCCACGGGGGGCACTTCTGTTTTCTGCTGGCTGTCTGACTTCTCCAAAGACACAGAAAAGCATCAACTCAACAGAGCTTCATCACCGAGACTCTAAAGCTGCATTGTTTAGAAGAAGAAACAATATTTGTCCCTGCCAAAAACACGGATTATAGATCCTCGTGTCCTTACCTCCTTCTTCTTCCTCTCCTCCTCCCTTTTCTTCTTCTCCTCCCTGATTTGGGCGAGGCGCTGTTTCTTACGCTCAAGCTCTGCTTTTAGGTCACTTTTGTCCGACATGGTGAGCTTTAAATGGGTCTGTGAAGAGATGACACCACGGCCTCCTCTCTGAACTCCAGTGATCAGCAAACCCTCCTCAGAGACTTCACACAGACAAGAGAGGAGGTTAAAGGAGATGCTCACACTGAAGGTCACGTGTGTACAGCCAGATCACGTGTTCGTGTTTTTTTAAATATCAGAAATGATCCATAAATGTGTAAAGTGACGCTTCTTGAACAGATATTTTAATTAGAAGCATTTTCCACTCTGAGATCATTTAGCAACAGAACCAGAACAATGAAGGCTTTATTTTGCTGTCATAACACAACAGAGTCGTTTCATTTAGTTAGCAGGTAACTACCAGGTTAGCTAGCAGCAGCTGCGACAGGATCCTCCACACAGGAATTAGCTAAGCTAAGCGTTTCAGAGTGGGAGAATTAAGCTGACATGAACGGATAAATGAGGTGTTTTACTGTTTTACTCGTACCTTGTCCACTTGTGGTGCTAATGACGTGCCACCGCTGAAGATGCTGTCTCACGGCTGTCTAGACGCAGCCTTGCATCAGTGGATGACGAACAACGTCTTCAGCTTTGTTTGCTCACTGACTTCCCGGGTTAAATCGGGTCCTTTCGGCCACCCAGCTGCAAAAAGAGGAAGGATGAGGCAGGTGCAAGACCAGCCGGCAGACTCATCCTTCAGGGAGAGCAAGAGGTGGATGTTGAGAAGCAGCAGGAGGAGGAGAGGAAATCCCTCCTCTTCTTTAGGACCGTTCTGGATGCGCTGTCATCACAACGGCGCCCTCTGGAGGTCAGCCGGTGAAACGGTGGGGGGCTTTTATTCATTTGCGATGACAAATGGCGTCATTTGGAATCGTAGGATAGAAGAGCTCTATTATGATTGGCTATTTCATTTAGCAGCAAACGGTCTTCCCTACAGCGTGAAGACTGCACTTCCACCAGCAGAACAGCTGTTTTCTGGAGTTTTGCAAAGAAAATGAGAATGTAGCCCTATAATAACCATTCTGTCCGGTTTTGCAAAGTAGTTTTTTTCTGTTTGTTTAATTTTGTTGTCGTCCCTTAACCGCCTTAACCCATTAAAGTAAAGACATAAAATACCCTAAATAAAATAATCCCAATGCCCGAGGCTCGGGGGATGCCAGAGATTTTGGGCCCCATGAAAAAAATATCAAGTTGGGCCCCCTGGGGGCTCGCTTGTCCATAGCTGGAGCTGGGGTTCCACCCTCCCAGATTCGAAGGGAGAAAAAAATATAATATATTTACTTTATATTAGTGTTTCAATTTTGCTTAATTATGTAGGTCTACATGCATTCTTACTTATTTACATATCATTTTCACCAGCTGTCTGTCATTAAACAGTGAATTTCCTTCAACAGAATTAGCAATATCACTGCTGGAAAAAGCAGGAAATGCACATGCTGAAAGGTGTTAATCTCCTTTTCCCTATTACTCCCTTAAAATGTATTTATTTATTCTAAAATTTTATTTGATGATAAAATTCAAATTAGGATATCTAATTGAATTTCCATGTTGTGTCAAAGCTTTACATAACTACATTTTCAGCTGTCTTTCCTCTTGAAATCAAGTATTTCTGTATGACTGACAAAAATTAAGGATTCACTGCTGACAAGGTGACTTCTTTATTAAGTGTCCATGGCTTCATCATAGACACAAAATGAACAAGTACACATATCAAACCGGAGTCAGTTAGGGTTAGATAACATTTTAAAGTCAGATAACTTTGCATGAATATGTATATAAATCTCTAGAAACCCATTTTTCTCAACAGCAAAAAAATATTCAGCCTTGACTGTACACAGCAAGATTTATTATTTACAGTGTTATAATTAATAATGCTCCTGAGAGACATACTTAGTGACAGACTAAATAACAATGCTTCAACCTGCCCAGCATCCAAAACAATCTAAACATTTTTACTGATTATCATTATGTGGAAAAACAATGTGTTTATCACCAAAAATAGCCTTTTTATATTCCTTTGTAGTAGTACTGATAGAGAAGAGAGCCTTAAGTGATTCCCACAGACCCCCTTAAATGAGGCTGCTAGCTAACATGCTACATTGCTCACCTTCTTGAGGTTCATTGGGTTGTGAGGGGATACCTGCTGACATATCATCAGCTGCTGATTCTGGTAGGGACAAGGACAACAACCCATTTACCATAATTAGATGAAACATATTTCCTCTCACTGTGGATATCAGAGCTAGCAAACAGGTTGAATTTAACCACTCACTAACTAAACCCACCTTTCTTTGAGAAAAACTGTGTGACATACTGGCGCCCTCTCTTCTGCCTGTCCTCTTTCTCCTTTCTTTCTTTCCTTTTCTGTGACCCAGACTTTGTTTTTGCAGACACATTTACTGCAGCCTTGTCGCACTCCATTTTATGCCATTAGGAGGGGGGGGGGGGGGGGTCAAATTAATTAGTCAAAATAAAGTAGGGACCTCTGAATAAATATACATTTCACAAAGACTAAAAGATTGTTTGTTTAATGTCTTAAATGAGAAAAAATACTGCAAAGTAAAGTACTTGTGATTTTTAAACTTTATTTATGTTTTATTCAACTTTGAAACTTTTTTTGGCCCCTGACAGCTGTGGGGCCTTAGACTCTTTCTAATCATTCACTGCTTTACAGCGCCCCTGGCCCGAGCCAACAGATAAAGTCAGTCTAGTGTGTTGAATGCAACAAGATATATTAGCCGTTTGATTATAGATTCACTAGGATAAATACAATAAAGTTTATCTCTCACCAAATAGAATATTTACTAAGAAATCACAATGTAACCATAGAACATTACTTTGTATATATGTTGTGTGTGTTGATGTGTGTTTGTGGGTGAGTTGGTGAGTTGGTGAGTTGGTGTATATGTGCATCTGCTCTGTCTTCTCCATCCCCAGTGAGTCGTGGTGGATGGCTGCTTATACTGAGCCAGGATCCTCTGGAGGTTTCATCCTGTTAAAAGGGAGTTTTCCTCTCCACTGTCGCTAAATGCTTGCTTAGTATGTGTAAATCACAGTTACTGACTATTGTCAGTGACTTGATGCAATTTGATGGGTTACTTATATAGGAAACTTTTTTCTGATTGGCTTAATGAACTGACCTGTATTAAAATGTTTACTATGTGAAGTGCCTTGAGATGACTTTTGTCGTGATTTGGCGCTATATGAATAAACTTGAATTGAATTGCATTGAATTGAATTGAATTGAATTGAATTACAAGTATACTTGTGCCGTTTTTCAGAATCTGAAACTGGTGTGCTGGAAAACAGGACAGATTGGTTATTATAGCACAAGGTTCATATTTTCCTTTCTAAAAAAAACTCCTTAAGAACCAGCTGCAGGCATAAAAACAACGCCACATTTAGGGAATACCGGTTTGGCATTTTCAGCCAGTCAGAGGCAAGAAAGGCGGGACCTTCCTTGAACATCATGCGATTCCAAATTACTCGTGCAGGATGGTTTGAACCAGGTTCAACAACAAATTTATTACAACACTGGGATCACAAATTACGAAAATCCTAATCATAACCCTAAAACAAACAAAATGAAAATACTAACAACAAATGCCTCAAATATTTAAAGAGAAGAATTTCTTCTTGATAAAGCCTTTTCAGACATCCATCACATCCATTCAATTTTTAAAAGCAACCATGACATACTGAATAGTAAGTCGTGTACTTTTTCCTGGAAATAATGTCTTTTTAGAGACTAAGGGGAAAATGGATGTAGAAAAAAATTGTTGAAACCCTTCAGTCAATGAAAAACCCACAATGGTCACAAACACAACTTTAATCTGACAAAAGTAATTATACACAAAAAAATTTATGAAATTTAACCAATGGAAGATAACACACAGGAAACGCCATCTGTCGGTCTACGTACCCAGGGGAAGCCTCTGATTAGATCCAGAATGCCGAGGTCTTCAAGGACCCTCCTTGGCACCGAAGCCGGTAGAAAAGCAACTGTGCCGACCAAACTAGTCTTGGAATGCTTCCAGGTCATGACAGGTTATCACTGGCGTCTCCGAGACCCTGAAGGGGTCGTGAGGTTCAGCTTTTATTCTGAAGGAACCGTTGCGGTCAATTGTACTTGCAACAGATTTTATCCAGCTTGTCTGAGGTTGTTTATGGCTGAAGAGGAAGTCCGGATGGCCTGTCCGAGACTTCTCTAGAACGCTTTGAACTAAAGAAAAGGTGGCGTGGAATAGTTTTTATAATTGTCATATTTTGGTTTTCTGGCGAATCAGAATTTGACATGCAAAAGATGGTTTACACAAACACCACAGAAAACCACGCCTAGCCAGAAACGAAGGTTCTGATTGGGTCAGACAAAAGGAAATGTGTTGTGTGACTTTAGCATTACGTGTCCTTAGTGTCTTGAGCAAATGTCCAAGATTATAATAACTTGTAAAATACTACTGATCACAGGATTATAATATCAATTAATAGCATTGTCATTTCACAGATGGATTGAACATTGGGCTCACATTATCATAAGCAAATAATAAAGTTGTTGATTATGTATTTATCAAAATAGTTCTTTGTCTTGACAGAGGTGAAGCAGTTCAGATGAGCGGAGTGCATGAAAGACCTTGGCCACTATCTCATGTAGATTAGCCTGTCAGAGACTTTATGTCTCTGCTCGAGCAGACACAGCAGATCATGACCTTTAGGTTAAAAACAGGACATTCATGATGCTACATATCCCCCCTTTTCAAGGGCATGGTGGTCCAGGCAGAGACCACCTGACGTTGAACAAACCAGAGGCCAGAAGGACTCCGTCGAGAAAGCAAGGTGTAATTTCCCAGGCAGAGGCCAAAAGTGGTGAACGAACCCCACACCGAAGGACAGTCACGGATAATTCCTTTGGAAGTGGTTAAATCAACAGTCAGTAGATCATTAATATATCCGTGGGAAGGGAGTAATTCAAGCAGCAGCAGAATTTTGTATCTCCACGTGGACGGAATAATTCAAACAGTAATTTGATCCTTGTAATTGTACTTAGTGTAATCCAGAGTAGGAGGAAGACGAGCAGGCAACAGATCAGGTCCCAGCGAACAAAGTTTCCCAGCAGCCATGGCCGGAATCAACGGACGTCCAGGTCCAATGAGCCGGAACACCAAGCAGCAAGCAGCAGAGTCAGATGACAAATCATAGGGCCACCCCCAGGAATCGAGGAACATCGGCGAAACTCAGCAGAGGAGAGAGAGCACAGCACAAGGCACTTGGTTGTAGACACAAATGGTGTTTGATGCAAATCAACAAATAAAAAGAAACCTGTCAATATGTGCACCTGTATGTTCTTTGTAAAGCAAATTATGTGAACAGAGCCCAAGTGAAGAAATTGATGCAATACACTATGTGTACTGGAAAAAGTGGCGTAAAAGAACAAAATAAAACCCTACAATATGTGTAAGGGAAAAATCACGCCACTAAGCAAAAATGTTATCAAAATGAGGGCAAAAATGATTGTAACCCATAACTGGTAAATCAACAAGTTAATCAAAAAGTTATCAAACTTAATCTACTATAAATAACAATATAAAAGTAGATATATGAGTGACAAAGAGCACTAAAATGTAAATCAGTGAAGTTAGTAATCAACCTATATGTGAATGTACCCCATAAGGAATTAAGATTAGTGAAAATAAAAATAAATTTGGATAACACAACAGTATAGGGAATAAACACTTTTACTGTTAAAACTTACTCATTACCTGACTTCAGAAACCCACAGCATGACCATCTCAA